TGCTTTGTCAGCATTTACATAATTACACTTTAGCTAGTAGAAAGAGCCCAATCTTCCAGTGAAAGAATGGATCTGGTCTCCTAGTAGGAAGCAACATTTACTAGAGACCATTATGCTGTAGGGTTCCAGGGTGCCTTGATCTCAATCCTAACTGTAGTTTGCTGTTAGAAATATTTGAGATTCGGAGATAACTTTCCCAAGATCACACAGATAGTAAGTAGCAGAGGCAGGACTTCAGTCAGGTTTGATTTGATTTTTTGTGTTTTTGAGAAAGGGTCTTGCTGGGTGTGGTGACACCCAGCACTTTAATCCCTGCAGTCCAGAGGCAGAGGCAGGCAGATCTTTGTGAGTTCAAGGCCAACCTGGTCTAAAAGAGAGTTCCAGGACAGCCAGAATTGTTACACAGAGAATCCCTGTCTCAAAAAACCAAACCAAGCCAAAGCAAACCAAAAACAATGAAAAAGGGATAGGGTCTCATTTAGTCCAGACTGGCCTTAAACTCATTATGTAACCAAGGCTGGACTGGCCTTCAGCATCTGATTCTCCTGCCTCTACCTCCCAAGTTCTGAGATTATAAACATGTGTCACTTATATTGGACTGCTTCCAAGTCAGGTTTGAAATGGAATATATGGAATGTACTTCCAAATAAATTAATGATTGGGAGAGGATGTGGCAGATTGGTCATGGGTTCATGGCCTTTGGAATTTGTCAACAATCCTGGGAACTTGTATGTATTTGCCTAGTCTTGTTAAGAACTGTCCATAGAAAAAGTAGTATGAGCCAACTCTTCAAGGTTAACCCATCAGCTCCAGCTCTGTATGACTTTAGATGCACCCTGTGACATGCCATCAAGGAGACCTGTGTGGGCCAGGGGATCAAACAGCCATGTTATTTTAGCTTTTTGTCCTTCTGGTAAGTCAGTTATTAGAGGAGAAAGGGATTTAGACTACATGCGGAAACACCTTCTTTAACGCTTTGCGCAGTGCTTTCAAGGGTTTTGAACAAAGCTAAAGGAGAAAGGGGCTGGGAATGGAAAAAACCATTAACCGATAAGAAGACCTAACATTTTTTGTGACCCATTTACACATCTCTTACGATTTAGTACAAAAAAGGCAGTGATCCCTAGTACAGAGGTTCATCAAAGCCTAGTTTTGGATGAGTTTAGTCTCCTACAGGCTCATACCTCTGAATTTTACTAACATCTGAACTGTACCCAAATCAGAGAGGTCTTGGCAAAGCAAATCAAGGACATTTTAATAAAAGTATCAGAATTACTTAAAATCATGGTGAGATCCAGGCCAGAGATAAATGCTGGACACATTGAAGTCCAGTGTATTCTCGCACACGGTGGCACAGGTAGTGCATTGCAGAGTCACAGACTATGCATGGGCACCCAATGGCAGACATGCTCATCTGGGTGGTGGACTGTTGTCTTGGGGTTTAGGACATGGCGATTTCTTTCCCTGTCTCTCCTTAGCCCCCAGCTGGCACTCCTATCCTTTTCTCCAAGGCTCTTAGACCAGACCATCACAGGCATCTTCTCTTTTTCCCAGTTCCCCAAACACCTCTGTTAATGGTGGCAAGGGCAGGAATAGTGGGACAGTGAATTCGGAACGTAGGTAGACACATCTTGCTTAGGTCCCCTGGCTCCCCTCTCTGCTCACTCCCTTCTCCCTTGGTGGCCCATTCCCCATCTCACATGAGCCCAGGTTACTTACAGGGAGGTCTCCATCCAGCAAAGTTGGGCCCTTGTTCATTGCCATCCTTCCTCTTCAGGCTGCAAAGCAGAGTCCCAGGTCCATCAGAAGCCCACAGACTTGCAAACCACAGGGTGGCTCCCTACCTCTCACAGCCACCCACAGTCACTGAGAGCTCAGCTGCCCTAGGTTGGGAGTGAATGTCACATAGAGAGGCCACTCCTTGGAGTCCCAACACACTGAGTCTCCTGGTCTGCTCAAAGTGAACTCCATAGTCTGCTCAAAATTGATGCTTTTTTTTAAAGGCTCAAGACAAAAGAAAATGTAGATAAGTTAGGTTGATGAGATAATGAGAGAAAAGGTTTAGGATGAAGTCTGGGGCTCTTAAATCAGAGTCCCAAAGAGACTAAAGAATGAGCGTCGGGTAGCGTTTACTTTTCTTCATGACAAAATTCTAGTTAATTACTATTTCCCTCTACTGCCAACTAGGTAAGCCTTCTCCTAAAAGAACTGTCTTCTGGATAAGCCAATGGCCACTCTGTGCCCTGGTCTTTCAACCTGTGTCTTTTCCTCAATGGTCTCTCTGCAGAGCTCTGCATCCCTCAGTAAGTTCCCCATCTGCTCTTCCTCCCAGCTCCTTCCCTCTAAACACTCAGGTAAAGCAGACACCCGGGACCCCACACTCACTGCAGCTGACAGCCACCTCGGTCTCAGAAAACCCAACTGCAGAAGACTTCTCCACAGAAATCCTCCAGCCACTCCAGAGAATGTTGGGCAATGCCTCTCAGACCTCCCAGCAGGAGGAGGGCAAAGAGGAAGAGAAAGATGGGTGGCCCATTACCATAGCTGCCTGACCCAGGATGTCCCCTGGGCTCATCCTAGCTTCTGTGGGGACTGTTAGGCCAATGATGAGAAGGCTCACAGAGCTGAAGGAGTCCTGTGCTAGAGCCCCGAGACAATAGTTCCTGAATATTTCTGGCTTTTAATGACAAAAATTGCTTTCCGTAAAAAAGGCAATAGTACTTGTGTCATTAAACTCCTAAGTTCAAAGTTCCATGTAATTCTGTAATCTTTGGTCCCTTTCCCCAAAAGTTTCTATGGACAATACTCCCATATAGTTTCTCCTATCCTTTGTTATTTGCTAGCAAGGATGACTAGTGAACAGCATGATTCAAACCCACACAGGGATGGGTTCAGCTTACTGTATTAGTCGATGACTATCAAGATAAATTACTTGCAAAGACAAAATAGAGTTGAGAGTTGAGCTATTAATAATCTGGGCTCTGAGAGAATAGTTTTAACCTTTGTAAATCTTGAAAGTTTAAGAAAATATTTTGAAGCTGGTTGTGGTAGCAAGTGCCAGTAATCCTAGCACTCAGGATGCTGAGGCAGGATTGATAATTGGAGGGCCCCCTCACCGACATAGCAAGCGCTTGCCTCAAAAAGTCAGGGACTGAGGGCATAGCCTAAGATACTACCAGAACAGGAAGGAGGAGAATCACTGGGATTTGTTCACCTGAGTCGGGAGAAGTGATGGTGCTGATGAGCTTTAATTTGTTTTGTTGGCAGCCAATAGTACCCAGACAGACAAGAACTATCAGCACGTGCCATTCATTCCTCAACAGGGACTCAAGCCCAGGCTCAAACTTTAGTGCCTGATTAAAGAGGACAGAACACTATGGGCCCAACCAGTAGCTTTAGACCATCTAGAAAGGCCTCAGTCAAAATGGATGAGAGGACAACACTAAATATTAGCTGGCAGCAGATCTTTATGTTTTGATTCTGCTAAGTTGTTAGTGTGGATAAGAGAAAAGAAAGGCACTGGGCAGTAGGTTCAGCAAAATGGCTCAGCAGGTTAAGGGGATTGCCACCAAGCCTGACCACCTGAGTTCAATCCCTGGGACCTATATGATAGAGAACTGATTCTGGCAAAATGTCCTCTGACCTATGTGCACGCATTCACACACACACACACACACCACACACACGCACACACACACACACACACACACACACACACACACACAAGCACACTACATAAATAAATGTAATAGAAAATAAGGATGTAAGAAACAGATTCAGGGGTTGGAGAGATGGCTCAGAGGTTAAGAGCACTGACTGCTCTTCCACAGGTCCTGAGTTCAATTCCCAGCAACCATATAGTGACTCACAACCATCCATTATGAGATCTGGTGCCCTCTTCTGGTGTGCAGATATACATGGAAGCAGAATGTTGTATGCATAATAAATAAAATAAAAAAAGAAACAGATTCAGATAGGTCCCTGTTTAACCTTCATATAAATAATAATAAATAAGACAGGGAATAAGATGTCAGGAAAGGGAGGAATGTGGAGCATGGAACTTCCAAAAGAAGTAATAAATAAGTGAAGCATTTGCTACTTATTAATCTTGGTCTGAGCTTTTAAGCTATACGGCAGCTCTGGAGAAGGAGGGAAGTATGTAAAGTGGACTCTGCTCTCACTTCAAGGTCCAGGACAAATGATCTGGAAGGCTCCCATCTGGACACAACCCAGGCTAAAGGGCAGCCTGCCTTCTCAGGCGGTGGCTTTGGGCCAGAGGGGCTATAGGGCTCTGTGCCTAAAACTCTGCTGACAAAGCTGGTCCTCTGGCTGCTTCCACTGGGATTCTAGAATGTGGGTGAGAGGTGAGAAAGAAAAGAGCCAGGCAAATACTAAGGGGGCAAGGGTAAGAGGCAGTTCTCCAAGCTATCTCATGCTGCTTCATTCCCTCCACTACAGGAGAGCAGGGATCTTGGCCATTCTGTGCACAGGTGGGTCCCCAAGCCAAACAGGGCACTCAAACACTTGCTGACTAAGCCCTCAGCAGCAGTGTTCAACTGTGACTGTGCAGCTCCTTGGGGCTTTGTAGTTTCATAAATCCCTCATGAATGTGGACCCAGGAGGAGAGGGTTAGCAGAGAAGGAGAAAGATACAAGGATGAGGTAGCAGGGCCACACTGAGTTTACAGACTCTAGAAAATGGCAGTTTCCAACCCTCCAACCACCCCCTCTAATGTGTAAGACCCAAAGACCAAAATAGCTATCTGCAAAACACTGCCCATGAACTCTAGGCAGCTTCTCTGAGAAGCTAGCCAGCTATTGCTAGGCTACTACCTTGGCAGGGGTGGTTTGGACAGATGTGTAAGGGAACTTTTCAAACAGGAACTTTGACATAGTCCCCATGCCTTCCTCCCAGCCTGCACCTTGCCAGTCCTGAGCTTCCTGCTCACTGCCTTCCTCTAAACTCTCTCCAATCCCAGATATATTCACAGATTCGTGAGCCAATTTTGTTTAGAAATGTATTAGACATACTGACATGTTACAGTACAAAGTTATTTAAACATATTTGTCTTGTTTTAGCCAATTTAGTTTCTACCAGAATACCCCCCAAAGTTTTCCCAAATCACACACTTTAAAAATAGAGTGCCAAGGACCCGAGTCTGCTTTTCAAGAATCTTCCTCACACTTATGGGAAGCAGCTATTGAGTGCATATCTCTCGTTTCCACTTAGATGATGTACATGGCTTTGTAGGTGTGATGCTGGCCCACCTGCAGGCATCCCTTTTCCCCAGGCCACACACCTCAAATAGGAACTGAAATGGGAAGAGCAAGCACAGGCAAACTGCACTGACTCAGTATCCCCACTGCCCTATTGCCACAGCTGTCCCTAGTAAACCTGATTTATCACAGAAAACTGACATTCTTACATTCACACACAGGAAAATTTTAATTCTCTTATTTTGACGAAAACTGTTGTGGAATTGCCAAAAGTGTTATGTAGCTGTAAATAAAATCAATCCGGGAAAGCCTACTTGTTTTGATTTTTATAGACTAGAAGAGAAACCATCAAAGTTCCAGGCCTGGTGTGGGGGAGTGCAAAGGAGCAAAAGGCAAAGGACTCTTGAGCCTGGAAATGCTGCTGGAACTGTGTCATGAGATGGTACAGAGGACTCATCTTGAAAAGAATCAGAACGAACCTCTGAGTTCAGTTTTGTTTGTTGGTGTCAATTTCCTTATTTGTCTCACACTGTGACCTTCTACCCACTTTCACCTCCGTCCCCCCCACTGCACCCTTGCTGACTCACATCATGTCCAGAGGCTTCCACCCAGACAACCCACAGCACGGAGGTCCTGAGGTTTTCCTGAACCTACCTCTGTACATAAGGACCCACTGCAGCAATGGCCAGAGCCAATGGGTTAAGCGGCTGGAAGCCAGCTCCCTTCCATCCCACACTGACGTCTGTGGGGATGGGGCATAGTAACTGATGGGAGGAAAGGGAGGCTTTAACCAGAGCCAGGAGTGCCGTGCTCCAGCTCTGATGTACTATGTGAAATGAGGGACCCAAACAACCCAACCCATGATTCTAGTGTCTGTGGGTCTTTCATGATTTCTTTCCTTTCCATTTTTATTCATTCAGCAAACCTTAAGCTCTTGCTGTGTATATAAAAATACTTAGCAATGTTAGCTGAAGGGAAAATATTCAGAAATTCAGAAGTTACTGCAGGATTTAAAAAAATGTATCAGTCTGCACACTCCAGTGTTGGTCCTGCTCTCACATTATGGGTTGATAAGATGCTCACATGATTAAACAATTAAGCACAGTAAAACCCTGTGACAAAAATAGAATTTTGTTCCAACTAAGCTGTTACCTATTAGGCCCCCAAAACCTAGCGGGTCTTCAGTTTCAACTGAGGATACATTACAGTGATGAGACCCGCCACGGAGGACACAAGACCTCCAAGTCCTACGACACCAAGATTGGACTTGTAGATCCCGAGCTGGTTCAAAGGGATGAGGATGTCACAGAAGTTCTTCACTGTGTCTAGGAGCAAAGGAGGATGCTGCCTCAGAGAGTGGAATAGGAGTCGGAGAAAGGACTGGAGCCAGTCGGTGTCTTCATGGACCACGCTGTACCCAGGAGAGCCCTGGGATGACCTCTCTCTCTTTGCTCTGTCACTTGCCACTCGTTCCATCTGCAGCAGGATTTCATACAGATCCCGGACCAGGCTCATCAGGAGGAAATAGTAGTAGTGGCGGGTCGCCCACATTTGCCATTTCTCTCTGTTGACTCCAGAGGTAAGACCCACACTCTTCACCCAGAGGACAGTGTCACAGATGTAATAAACCACGCGGTTCAGGTTGGCTAGCGTAAGGCATAAGCGGGGCACAAGGTCGGTGACTTGGATGCTCTGTTCAGTTGCTTGGATGGCATGGACCACGTTGCCCAGTCTGAACCCTGTAAAAAGAACCCACAGAATCAGCACTTTGATTAGCACTGAATGGGAGGCAGAAGCCCTATGGCGAGTTAAGGATTCAGAACTCAGCAGCTGACGGCAGTCCAGGCTCAGTCTTAGCTGAGGAAAGGAGCCCTACAGGGATCCTGCAAAGCCCAACAGACAGTGACCTTTACAATTTACCACCCGCATTCCCAGGCGTGCCTTAACACTCACTTCCAGTGTCCTCCGGACAAGGTTAATCATGGATGTGTGCTATTATGTTTCATAAGCAAACCAGTGCTTGACACGAGCTCCTGGTTCAACATTCTTATACATTTGATTCCCATCTGTGGTGGTTCAAATATGAATGCCCCCATTCATATTTGAATGCTTAGTCACCACGGAGTAGAACTCTTGGATAGGATTAGAAGGATGAGGAGGTGTGGTCTTGTTGGAAGAAGTGTGTCACTAGGGGTGGGCACTGAGGTTTCAAAAGTCCATTCCAGGCCCAGGCCCAGTCTCTTAGTCTCTCAATTTCTCTCTCTCTCAGCATATGGAGCAAGATGTAGCTCTTAGCTACATTTCCAGTACCACACCTGCCTGCTGCCATGCTCCCAGCCATGAGGATAATGGACTAAGTCTCTGACACTGTAAGCAAGCCCCGATTAAACTGTTTCCTATATAGATTTGGTTTAGTCATGGTGTCTCTTCACAGCAATAGAACAGTGACTAAGACACCATCAAAAGGATTATCATTTGGTTATCATGCTGGCCCATCTTCCTCTGGCTCACTATGAAAGAAGAGCACAGAGAAATGGCTGACTGAGGGGCTACGGTATCAGTAGTCACAAAGAGCTCCTAGATGAACTAATGAAACCACTGCAATGTGTGCCCTTATATCAACATGCAACTATCAACTGGGGGTCATCCGTGCACAGGTATCTACTGGGCACCCAGAGATGGGGTATTTGACTTAGTAACTGCCCAGAAGCAGCTACTCTCCAAACACAATCTCAAGAGAGCACTTGAGCTAACACAGAGCAGCATATGAAATGACTGTTTCAAAACTGGAGTTTCAGGTTCTCATTCAGCTCGTGGGCTGGTTGGCTGAATGACATTGGATAAGTACCTTCTGAACTTTTAAGACTAGTGAAACTCTAAAGGACATTCAGCAATGACATTCTAGAGAATTTATGACAGAATTTCTAATCTTGGCCTTCAAAGACATCCAGAAATCTTACCCAATGCTTCCCAGACTTCTTGTTGACTATTTAAGTCTTCTTTCTCTGCCAAACCAGATTTTGGTTTGACACTGATCCTCCAGGACAGTGGTTTGATTCTAACAATCCTGAGCCTCCGCTAGGGGAAATCCACCTTTCAGAAGACTTTGTTTCTCCAGCCATAGCTCAAATCCTACTTCCTTCAAAATATATTTTTCTTCTACCCCAGCCATCTTATTTGCCACCAAGTATTATTTGTTTTTTTTGTTTTGTTTTGTTTTGTCTTTTTTTGGTTTTTCGAGACAGGGTTTCTCTGTGGCTTTGGAGCCTATCCTGGAACTAGCTCTTGTAACCAGGATGGTCTTGAACTCACAGAGATCCTCCTGCCTCTGCCTCCTGAGTGCTGGGATTAAAGGTGTGCGCCCAAATATTATTTGTAATATGATTTTATCTCTCCCATAAAGCTGAGGGATGCTCCTATATGAAATAGGGAGTCAAAACAACTCATCAATATGGGATGGGCTATATCCCATATCTGCTGATCTACTGAAACATCTGCTTTTCATCAGACAATGGAGTCAGACACACAATTGTTGTGAGAAGCATGGACTTTCCCAGGGTGACTGGTATGAAAGTGTAGCCATCAGTGAAAATCCCTGCCATCATTCTTTGACTTTCATATGAAACTACCTGGCAAACTGTCTAAGAAAATGCATTCATTCAGATCCTCCACTAATCTTCAACAGATGAGGAGGAAAAGGCATATGGTCTAAGATATGGCTATCCTATTCTACAGAACTTAAGGGCTCATGCTAGACTGAAGTTCATGTTGGGCATTGCCAAGACACTCTTAGAACTGAAGTGAGCTAGCACACTGTGTGCCCCACCGGCTATGATTAAGCAGAAGGATATGGTATAGCACCAAATTTGAACAGAGGAAGACATCTGTGAATGAGCTATAGGAAAACATTCATTCAGCCTTTTTTTTTTTTTTTTTTGAGTCACCAGGCAGGGTTACCACCAGTTTCATCGTAGACTTGGGTGAATGAAAATGATGACCTTGAAATCACATTGTAAATTCCAGGGACTGAGGCTGATGACTTTAAATCAGAAGCCACTGTCCCTCGAGTGACAGGTACTTACATTTACGGCCAGTGCTCACACTGGACTCCAGACTCTTGAGCTTCATTACCACCGCCTCTTTGCCAGCTTTAGACTCTAACAAATATCTAAGTAACATGCATGCATGTTGAGTGGCTCTGAAATGGAAAAAAAAAGGGGAGGAAAATGGTTTACAAACCAAATAAAATTGGATTCATGAAGGGAAGGAGAAACATGTGCTCTAAAAGCAAAAAGAAACATCATGCTGAGGCAGAAATTCTGGGAAGGTTTCTCATGTTGAAGCTCTTACAAAAGCAGCATTCTGCAATAGTCCTTGCATAGGAGGGCCAAAGGGTGAACATGCAATGGTAATGCAGCACAAAGGTTAGCAAAGAGGACTCTGCAACTATGCAGGGCATAGCGCCTCCAAAGCCCTTTGCTGTCACAGAAAGATGGATGAGTCAAAGTGAGAAACTGCACAGAGATGTCTCTCAGCTCTACAAAGGTCTACATTGCTGTCTGCCCCTGTGTAGAATGATGTTCAGATTTCCAAAATGAACTTTTCTACCACATAGCTTAAACTTATTATTTATGTGGCAGGAAACAAACTCAAAAGCCAAGTGAAAAATCCAATCTTTTGTTTGTTTTGAAAACTCCAGTCTTAATATTTAGTTTTTAACATACCAATATACAATTTAGCAGCTACAGCCCTTCAAACCAATTAGTATTTTACAAAAAAAAACCTGTTTAGCAATACTGTAATCCAATAAAATGATTATTATACCAGCAATGGCAATAAATACAATAAATTAGAATCACCAACATTCAAATGCATCTGCAGACTACTTAATAAAATCAGGTTCTGGGCCAGGTATGGTAGTGCCTATCTTTATTCCCACCACTCAGGAGGCAGAGGAAAGTTGTCATGGCCAGCTTGGTCTACATAGAGAATTCCAGGCTAGCCAGGGCTATATAGTGCAACCCTGTCTCAAACAGAACAAAAGAACAACAACAAACAAACAAAAATCAGTAGGTGCTGGTCCCTACTGTCTTAGAACTGCACTGGAGCCCCTGTATGATATAAATTCTTCTCAGTAAAACTGTGGCACAGGGATGGTGGCTCATGCCTACAATTCTAGCACTCAGAAGGCTGAGACAAGGGACTGCAGTGGCTGTCTGGGCTTCAGAGTAAGATTTTTCTCAAAATAAATGAATAAATCCTCCCCAAATTGGTACATTTCCCCCATGATGGGCCAGTTTGGGGCAATGAAGTAAAATGAGGGAGGGTAGAAGACAGAATCCACTTTCTGGCCAGAGGGCTCATCTGCTCATGTCAAAACACCCTCCTCTCTTAGATTTGGTCTAACAGGAGGGGGTCCGAAAACAAGGCATTGCCTTAGGAATGCTAGTTTGTTGGTGGTTATACAGATCCTTAAAACGGTTGGGAAATAAAATTTTGCTGAATACCTGTATCCCAAATTATTATTTTATTGAAAGACATTGCAGGGCACACCAGAATTATATGTTTTGACTTTAAATGAAGTGTGTACATTTTCAACCATTTTGAAAACCTATCAAGTTAAACAGGAGGCAGCATGACTAAGTTAAGAGGTGGGCACTGGAGCCAGCGGTGTGGACTTGCATCTCCGGGCTCTGCAGGTTAGTTCTCCTGAAGCTCCTGCTTCACTTTCCCTAGGTGTGAAACTGGGGTATGAAGAGTATCTCCTCCACAGGGCTGCAATGAAGGTCGGTACGGTTGGTCTCCTGAAGTCTCATTATTAGGATTTTCCTTACTTTATATGTTTAGCTTATATTAGTGGCTGAACACAAACACCTGGAAGAGAAGAGCTGTTAAATAAAACTACTTTTTCCTTTTCCTTTCCCTTTAAATGATCATTGAGCAACACTCAGATAAATTTCTCTTTAAAAAAAAAAAAAAAAAAAAGGAGGAGGATTAGTTTCATATACTTAGAAAGGACACCAAGCACTTCGGAGGTGTCGTCAAAACACTTTTTCCATCGTACTTTTTTAGTTTTACAAAGCTTTTCTTTTTTAAAAAAAAAAAAAGGAGGAGGATTAGTTTCATATACTTAGAAAGGACACCATGCACTTCGGAGGTGTCGTCAAAACACTTTTTCCATCGTACTTTTTTTACAGTTTTACAAAGCTTTTCTTTTTTTATATATAACACTCAGTATCTCCAAGACACAGGCTGAGCCAAAATGGAAGATAAAAGATAAAACTGTCTTTCCGTGAGCACTTCACGCGGCGCTCCAAGCCACGGGGGTTCTGCTTCCTTAGGTACAAAAGAAATCCAAAGTTTCCCTCGAAAAGAAATCTCTGGGAAAGACGTTGAGCGTCGGGGACTCAGTTTCCCTCGTGGGCTGCGGTCGCATCCAGAGGCACCGAGGTGGCTGGCGCGCACAGCCCCGTTGAATTCAGGCTCGGGTCCCCACTCCCTCAGAGGGAGCTGGCAGCGTCCCGGCGCCTCGACCTGCGGCTGTCACCTCCTCCTCCATTGGGTCGGGACGGGACAGGGGTGGAGGCCGGCGGCACCTGACTCACCTGAAAAGTCGGTCGCGGCCCTGGCTCTGGTTGGCGAAGCGGACGAAGGCGTCCATGGCTCCCACCCACGGCCACG